TTAATTGACCTTAGAAGGCTAGGGCCAAAATGGCTTTCCTTGTATCCCTCCTTTTTCTCTAATTTTGGTCTGCAAACTTAGGTTGTTAACCATCCAGAAGCCTCTCATCTTCTTTTCAACCTTTATGTATTTCTTCTAATTTCTCATTGTATCGGCTCGAACTCCTAGAGCAGAGTTAAGTGATAATGCATTCTAGGCAGCTCTGTTCTTTTCCTTAGTTATCTTTGTTTTTGTTTTTGTAATTTCCTCTATACCATATTAATCATATGTTTATTCTGTTTTAATTATTAACTCCATATGCTTTTATTTTTAGGTTTAGATTGTTCTTAAATTACTAGAATAAATTTTCCTTGGCAAAGGCATATTGACTTTTTTAATGCAATTTTGAATTTGCTTTACTAATATTTAATTTTTTTTACCTTTATAATCTGTAAGTGAAATTGATGTGTGTCTTGAACTCACTATGTAGCTAAGCCTGGCCTTGAATTTGCAGTGATCTTGCCTGTGCCTCTAGAGTGCTGGGATTGTAGATGTGTGACACCACCCTTGACTGTTTTTTTTTAATGACCAGGTTAGCTTAAAATGCTAATTAGGTTTTCCATCCTTTTCTGTGCTCTGGAAGCTCTGTTTAATTATCGTAATAAAACTTTTTCTTATTTATAAAAACAATCATTTTCTTGTAATATATTAAGAAATCTCACTGTTTAAAGATAACCACCCTTGGCATCTTGGTGTATTTAGTTTTTGTATTATTTTTCTGCTTGAATGACATTTTGCTTTTTGAGACAAGGATTTGTTATGTAGTTCAGGATGTCTTTGAACTCACTATGTAGCCCAGGTTGGCCTAGAACTCACAACAGTGCTTCTGCCTCAGACTCTCAAGTGCTGGGATTACAGATGTGTGTCATTTCCTGTTTGGATGGCATATCAAAGCTAAATTTTTCTTTTAAGAAATTATGGTTATTTTGTGCTAACAGATTGATTTTTTTTTTTTTTTTTTTTGTATTTTAGGGAAGGGTCTACAGGGTATTCAGGGTCTCACTACTAGGTCGGACTTGTAGTGATCTGCCTGTTTGCAGCCTCCCAAGAGCTGGGATTATAGGCGCACGCCACCACACCTACTCTCAGTTGCCCACATATCAAGCCCCCGGGGTAGGGCCAGCATAGCAGGCCAGGGGATTGAATCACTGGCTCCTGTGCCTGCTTGCAGGTGCTTTAATCCACTGAGCTGTTTGGCTGGACCAACAGATTGAAAATTGAGTCATACTTTTTTTTTTTTTTTTTGGTCTTTTTGGGGGCAGGATTTCACTTTGCAGTTCAGGCTAGCCTTGAACTCACTTTGTAGCCCAGGCTAACCTTAAATTTACAGCAATCCTCCTGCCTTAGTTTCCTGAGTGCTGAGATTATAGGCATGTTCCATGCTTGGCTAATGTCTCGGTTACTATACTCTTGCTGCTGGGACAAATACCCGACACTCAAAATGAAGGAAGGAAAGGTTTATTTAGCTCACAGTCAGTAGAGGTTTCAATCCATACTCAGCTGGCTCTGAGCAGACTGGTACATGGCAGAAGGCAGCAGGTGATGACAGCGGCAAAGAACAGAGAGCAAAATGGAAGGAGTAGGTGCAACAGTGGCTGTAGGGAGGAAGTCTGTGTTCTTTAAATTGCATTCAGCCTCTCTGCCCCAGGTGGGTGTAGTACTCACACCCATAATCCCAGCAGCACTCACACGCATCATCCCAGTGGATCATGAGTTAATCACAAACTCTAGAAGTCTGCCCTGTGACTGATGAGGCTTTGGGGGACAAATACATACCAACCATAACAGCTGAATCATATTCTTTAATGACTATATACTCTTTCATCTCTTGAATGTTTTGCAGGTCTTTACTTTTATATGGTCTTTATAGGCCTTGTGTGGTGTGGTATGTGTATGTGTGTATATGTTATGTTATGTTGTGTTGTATTATGTCATGTTATGTTATTTGAGACAGTCTCATTGTGTTGCCCCAGCTGTCCTCAGCCTCCCCTTTAGAGGACTCCAGATGTCGACCACTAAAACCAGCTTGTCCTTTTTTGTTTTGCTCTTTACTTTCCCAAGGAGAAGATACCTACTTTCATTGGTGCATCCCTGTGAGCTTGAAGGGTTTTCCCTTGGTTTCCAGAAACCAAGGAAACTTTTTGCCTTGGCTGTTGATACTTTGGAACATTGTTTGGTGTGCATGGTAGACCATGGCCAGCCTCTCGAATGTGACTGCTAATCTAAGGCAGGGACAGCCTTCTATCCAATTTATATCATTGCTTGTTTTAACAAGCAGCAAATGAAACCTGTGGTATTCTGGCTTTGTAATATATTCATCCATGGTCTAATATGTTTTCCTTTAAGTGGGCAGTTTTATTTTTCACATTTCCAAATTTCAGAAAGGCACTCCCCCATGCATCTCCAGCCTTTAATGTAGCACTTTAGATTCACAAACAAAAGTTTCCTCTGGTCTTTTAGAATGATTGGAGAAAACTCACACAGTCTTGGAAAAGGAGTCATTAGTGGTTCACATTCCTCTTGTATAAAAGAACACTGTCCTATAAACTGTTCAGATGGATTATAAATAACAGAGACTGGTTCAGATGGTAATGAGACTTGACACTGTGTTGTTTGAAGCTTGGTTCAGGAAACTATGGGACTTTTGTTGTTGAGTGAGACTTTTGGGAATAATTTCTTGCATGGCCCCATGGTAGATAATAGGATCAATGGCTAGAGGCTCTAGAGGCTCAGGGAACAGAACCCAGCTGAGCCTGAGGATGGACTGGGAGCTCCCAGGCAGTGCCCACAGAGTCTGGGCTACCCTTGGGCAGGCTTTCAGGTGGCTCCAAGGCTTAGCTGGGTGGCTGGCCCGTGTCACTATTTTACCTCCTGCATTTGTTCCCGGGAAGCTAAGCATCTCTTCCAGCCCATCCTTGATGAACTCTTGGTCTGGCAAGCCACATTTACCTGCTTTGATTTAGTAGATTCTGTACCACTGGACTGGAATACTTAAGCTGTGTTCTTTTCTTTGCAGCTTACCGTGGCAATCCGAGCTTTGTTGCACAACTTGAAGGAAAAGATCGCCCTTTTGAAGGACTTATTGCTAAGAGCGGTGTCAACACATCAGATGTATCCATGTAAACAGTTCCACCTCTTTTCCAGAGTGGGAGGAAAAACAGTCTTATTTTAAGAAAGGAAGGAATCTGGGCCACCCAGATCTTTCCACAGTTTGAGGAGGACCTGATTTTCGCACTGTTCCTATGATCTTGAGTTCTATTTTAAATGTCTGTTACACGTGTTATAGTGAATCTGCTGGCGAGGCATTAGCTGGCTTGGGTGTACCCCGTAGTGGGCAGGATGCTGAGGCTTTCGTGTTGTGTGTATGGAGCCCACAGTGCTCTCTGCTGCCGCCTGGGGGGCAGCCAGGTGCTGCTCCAACAGAAGCTGAGCTCTGGCTCCACTTCTGACTCTCTGAAGTTTGTAATGACCCATTTCTTCTTAGTGAGGCCAGTACCACTAGAAATCATATATCTTTTGCTGATGTTTTTACTGTTTATGTATATTATTATTACTACTACTATTGATACAGCTGTGTAGTTCAGGCTTTAACGCTCACTGTGTAGCCCAGGCTGGCTTCAAACTTGTGGCAATCCCAAGAGCCTCCCAAGAGCTGGGAATACAGGCTTGCACCACCATGCCTGGCTTTATGTAGATTATTGAGATGTGAATTATTTATCTTATTATTCTTCCAGGAACACAGATATTGCCTCTAGTTTGGAAAATTTGAGGAAGGAGGGAGTGGGACTTGCTTAAAGTAAATTGGATCATCTTCTTAGCTTCCTGCCAACTATTAAAATTTTTCTTAGAAATTCATAACCTGATCAGTGTAAGAAAATGTATGTGAATGGTTACCATTACTAGTTTTAAACTAATCCTTTAAAACTGAGTTTAGGGGCTCAGTGGAATAAGCACTTCCTTGGCAAGCACAAGGACCTGAGTTCAATCCCCGGTTCCTCATTAAAAAAAAAACAAAACTAAAACTCAGTTTATATTGACTTAAAAACTGATCTCAAATAGCTCTCATTTTGCTCTTAATTGTTAGTAATTCATGCCAAAAACCCATATTTTTTTCTTTTCTTTTTATGAGACAGAGTCTCATTATGTAGTTCAGGTTAGCCTTGAACTTACTGTGTAGCTGTGGATGGTCTCAAATTCGTGGTGATCCTCCTGCCTCAGCCTCCTGAGTGCTGAGACCATAGCTGTGGGAAAAGGCCCAGCTTTTGGTATTAGAGGAAGTGGTAACATCCTTGCTTTAAGTATGGGGAAATCAAATAGAATAGTATATAGAAATTATATAGAATATACCTTGGTAGATTAAAAAAAAATTGAAGTGTTTAAGGAAAACATTTTCCTGCAAATGTAACCCTTCTGTTCTAGGAAGTTTGGTTTAAATTAGTTGTATGACCTTCCCTATATCCAATTATTAATCCAGGAAGGTTTTGGGTAGAATTTTAATTTCAATAAACAATTGGAGTCTTCTTTATAACACAATTGGAGTATTCTGATACACTTTGTAATTTTATTCCCATTGGTTACTGCCCAGTTAGTCTATTATAAAAGTCTGAACTTTTATTTTACCAACATAAAGAAGTCTCGATACCTAAACCTCAAGTTGTTTAGATGGGCAAGGCTCTTTCCTCTGCTTTTGTTATGGCATGCTGAGAAATCTACACGTGGCATCACGATATCGAATTTGCTTTAGTGCCATGTATCTAACGGGGACATTAGAAAGGCCACTAAACACCTTATAATTGTTTCATGGTAGAGTGTTGGTACCTGTGTATCTGGTAGCTTCCATTAGGATAATTATGCCTTATTCATCTAATTTATGTGATAACCCTACAAAGTAAGAGACATCTATACATTAAGAGCTTAACTAGATACAATGGCTTGTATCTGTAATACCCAGCATCATGGGAAGCTGACGCAGGAGAATCACAAGGTTAAGCCCAGTTGGAGAAACTTAGAAAGATCTTGTCTCAAAATTTAAAAAAATAGTAATAAGTATTAGCAATATAACTCAGTGTGAAGGCTCTGGGCTCAAATCCCAGTACTGCAAAACAAAAATAAACACAAAACAAAAAAGTCTTAACTTTTTCCTACTAATAATTTCTGCTAGTTAATAAGTAGGGAACACTAAGTATTCTGCTGAATAATTGACTTTGTTCTCCTTGTGCTTCCAGTCTGACCATCTGTAATCTCTTGGGGACTTGGTGTGGTTTTGTGGTGATTTCAGAATACCTCCCAAAATGCTGAATTAAGCACTAACCATTAAAAACACTTAACAGAGTTATTTAAAACATTACAGAAATATGTAGTGACCTTAATGTGGATAATTCAGAAATTCCTAGAATTAAACTCAACTGGAATAGAAAGGCTTTCTTTTTTATTTTTCATTAACTTTAGAAAGGCTGTCTATATAATTCTATTTATATTTTTTCAAATTACTGTAACTGTAACCCTTACTGCAGGGCATGACATACAGACAGTCCACCCCCAGAGGGCGCTCCTGAATATGTGTTTTCAAGGAGGCTAGTTTTCTTTCGATAGGATGGAAGGAGGGAGGTAGCTTCTATATTCTGGCCCTCTTCCCCTTTTAGTTCTAGGATTGAATCCTGTACAGGATAAGCACATGATCTACTGCGGAGCTGCACGCCCAGTCCTACACAACCTCTTTGAAATCCTGCTTGTTTCCATCTCCCTTTTCTTTGCCTTCCTTCCTGTTCCCAAACATTTTTAATAATTCTATAACAGGGCCTGGGATGTAGCTCAGTGGTACAATCTCCTGCTCGGCAAATACAAGGTCCTGAGTTTGATTCTTGGTACAAAATGTAAAGAATACAAAAGTTAAAAAAAAAATAACAATTCTGTAACAGTTATCCTCCACACTTAAGGTGTATTAGATAGCACCTTGTCAGTCCTGATAACCTCACAAATTGGTTTGTTTTGGTGATCACTTCTCTGGACAGAAGAGGTACTGAGGGTGGGTCAGACTTTGCACCTCAGGTCCCTGATGTAGTGGAGAATCCAGCATCCAGCAAGGTTTTATACCAAGGAGAGGACTGTGAGAGTTTTGGTGCCTTGCTCAGGACCCCACAGCTAGAAGTAGAAGAGCCAAATTCAGACAGTCTGGCCCCAAGGCAGTTGTTTACTGCTGACTTCTATTTTAGTAGAAGTAATACAGTCAACTATCTCTTGGCATGTCTTCCACTAGATTTTCTATTAATTGGTACATTGCTATAGGGCCAAGACAAATCCTGTTTATAGGACAAATCCTGAAGAAACTTATTAATCATTAGAAAGATTAGACAGTTTTTACTGTGGTTTGTTAGATCTACTAATTTATGACATTGTAATTCTCAGAAAAGTTTTTGTCCATAAATCACCAACACAATGACTTTTTAATCCTGTTTTTGAGGCATAGTTAATGTTAGATGACTTTTCCAGAGTGAATATATTAAAACTGTATTTCCTCACTGTGCTGAGCAGTTAAGAGTTTATGGTATGTACTGAATGTATGTTTTTCTGGATTCATGGAGTTTTCCAAAGGGTACTAGGAACTGCCAAAATGATAAGTCCTATGACAATGTTTTCTAAACAGTTGAATTCATGGAATTTAGGTATGTTATTTTCTTTCCTAAAAAAGTACCTTACTCCTGGCAAGGATGAGTATGACATTAAAATGAAAGTTCTGTGCTCTTAAATCCATTAATTTGCAACTAATAAACCAAAATCTCATAGCCAGAGATTAGAATTGCTGAGGAACATTGACTTCCTTTCACTGTCTTCTCTGAGAGTCTCACTAGTTGAGACAATGTGTTATCAAATTTCAGGCAGTACCAAAGATACTTGTACAACTGGCTTTACATGAAGCCCATACTTTTGTTAGCTTTTCAATAGCAGCAACTTTGCTTCTTTAAGAAGAATAAAAATGATCTTTTTAACAAAGGAGTTTAGTATCACAAAGTTTTTTTGGTGCCTGAGGAGAATGCCTATGGAAATACTTTTTAAAAAAATGTGTTAACTTTTACAAGGGCTGGCCAAATAGCTCAGCAGATTAAAGCACCTGCAAGCAGGCACAGGGGCCCGGGGTTCAATCCCCTGGCCTACTGTGCTGGCCCACACCCCAGGGCATGCTGAGATGGCTATTGAGACTGGGCATGGTGGTGCATGCCTGTAATCCCAGCTCTGTAATCACAGGCGGATCACTAGGAGTCAGATCTAGTAGTGAGACCATGAACATCCTGTAGACCCTTCCCTAAAATTAAAAAAAAAAAAGAAAAAAAAAACTTTTATGAACTTTTTTCTAGGGGGCGGAAAGGATAGAGAGATGTGATAATCACTGTATAATAACTCCAAATGAATGTAAGTGTGGAGAGGCTGAGTAGATTTAGGCTAAAAGTATTCTTTGGTGGCTGTAATCGTGGTACAGTGGTCCTCAAACACCACCTGTTTGTGACACTTTTTACATAAATGTAAACATAAATATATATGTTGTTGCAAGGTTCTTGCTAGTTTTTTTTGTGTTAAAATCTTCTTGATTTTTCACCATGATAGATGAAGTAGGCATATTCGTTTGGTTCTTGAATGTCCAATCTGTACTTGGCGAATGTATACTTCTCAATGATGTGCTTCCCATCCCCAACTCGTGTGGAAGCGTTGCTGCTGGCCGTGAAATCCGGAGGGCTGGTATCATCAGTGTAGTGGGAAGAGCATCGGCTTTGGAAGCAGGCAGAGCTGCGACTGAAGACCAGTCCTATCACTTAACTGAGGCCAAGCAGCAGCTCAGTATTTCTGGGTCTTAGTTTCATTATTTGTAAAGTAGGACTAATCCTACTTTTGCAAATTTGTTGTGAAAACTGAATAAAGTATTTTTAAAGCATTTTATAGGACTAGCTGCCACCCCCATGGTGGGTGTTGGATAAAAGTTAGCTACTAACACTTACTGGGTAACCTTCACCTTCTTGTGCCTTATTTTTTCATATGTAAAATAAGGATTATAAGAATCTACCTGGCTTGTATTATTGTTATGAGAATTAAATTATATGCATATAGAAGTTGCCTCACAT